TATTAATATATATATATATATATATATTGGATTTGTCTTTTAGTAATCATTCATGTCTTTTCTTTTAATGAAGATTAATGCCTTTATGAAATTATGAATTCTAAATATTGTATAGGTATTAAATATTTGACATATGTTTTAGTTCCACCTATATAATTAGTAATATTTCCATTTTCTTTTGATATTGGAATGAAAATTGAATCATGAAATGAAAATTAGTGTTTAATAAAGTTTTCTAACTAAATAGTTAATTAGTATTAGATTTTGTTACAAAAATAGATAAAAATATAGAAAATTTTTATTTTTAATTTTATTTTTAAAAAAATTGGGTCCACTCGACCTAATTCGAGATCCGTGTAGGTGGATCATGGATTTATCCATTTAACCTGACACTCGAAATAACCAAATCTGAAAAACCCGAAATTTAAGATGATCCAATCCGAACCCACCTAATCTGACCTGTTTGGCAAGTCAAAGTGTTGAAGGCAAATCATTTTAAGGACATTAAGACCCAAACTTCTTTTTACACCATTGTGGAGCTAATGTAGATAATTTCTCATTTTTTTTAATATAAAAGGACTTTTGAAAATGATAATTAAAAAAGAAGAAGTAAATCTCTTGTTTTGTAATTCAAATCACTTTAAACTGTAGAATAAGAACTATTGAATTGAAGAAAATCCCAATATTGAAAGACCCACCTACATTTAATAATTAAAATTATGTAATTTACTATAACATGAATTACAAAATATTTTTTTCAAAAGAAAAAAACTATAGTATTACTTTACTACTTAAATGATAGGATTAGGACTTGTGGTAGAAGATTTAAAACTTAATTTTCATGAAAAATAAAAAAGTATTTAGGACTAAATGGAATCTTCATAGCAGAATATTCAAATCCACTTTCAAAGTAGTAAGGATGAATTCATCAAAAAAAAAAAAAAGAGACAAATCTACTTACAAAGTTTTTTATTTAGACAAATCATCTAAAATTTAACATGTAATATCATTTAATGTCAATAATTTGTTAATTTGTTGGGTCGCTGATAAGTTTATTTTAATGAATTACTGAAGTCAAATCACGCCATAAGTTAAATTTAAAGTAATTTATCTAAGTTATAAACTTTATAAATGAATTTATTCTCATTTTTTTGGGTAAATGCTAATTTTGGTCCCTCAACTTTATAGTATTACACTTTTTTGATCCCTCAACAATTTTTTGCATTCTTTTTTTTATCTCTCAACCCTAAGAACAACATAATTTTGGTCCTTTCATTAGTTTGAGTCGTTAACTTTGTTCATGTGGCATTTTTTATATTTTTTTGATGAGATGGATGATACAACTTAAAGAGGATGATGAAATGGACAAAACTTTATAACATGTCATATTCTTGCAAATAAAACGCTCGAAAATGCCCCTCAAATGGATCCCACATTACACTACAAAGATTAGATAAAGGGATAAAATATCTATAAACCCTAGAACGCTCTCTCATCTCCACTCCATTTGCAACATCGATCTTAACCCATATCTTTTTTTCTTTTCTCAAGGGAATCGTAGGAGATCTAAATGAAGGGAATTCGAGATGAGATTTGCTCGAGCTGGGTTGCCTTTACTACTACTGGGGATGAATCCTTACCTAGTAGATCTCATCAAATTAACTTAACCTCTCAATAAACAATGTCAATCAAACTCTAATCAAATTCCAATAAAAATGCAATCAAATTGTAATCAACTCCCAAATTTATCAAGAATTGGGAATGGAAATCGAAAGAAGAGTGAAAAACATGGTGAACTTGATGAACCCAACTCTAAAGAAGAATGGAAATCAAGAGAACCTAGGCCTAAACCTATCAACTTGGTTTCTTCAAACCTAGCAGAGGAACCTAGGCAAAGTTGTGTTCAATTCAACTCCGTGGGTTGGTTGGTTGGAAAGGATTGCTTTTTGCCATCTGTCTTTCCCTTCTCTTTCTCTCTTCTCTTAGCAAAGTAGGAAAAAGTCACACTTTTGGCTTGCTACAAGCTGGGCTCAAGGACTACAGTCAACCGTTTCCCTTGTAGTTGTCAGCTCGTTCTTAATAGATCCAATTGAGCATTCATAATCTGGAGTAAAAAGATTCAAATCTTTGCATGCTGGCACCAAAAACTGATGCTTTACCACTTGGCTATACTCCATACGGCCTATTTTGGACGATAAGAACGGGGAAAGGGGGAAGGGAGAAGCAAGGCTTGAAGAACGAGTCGAGGAGCTAGGTTCAACAGAGCCCAGCTATTGGGTTCGATGGAACCTAGTGGATCTAGGTTCCATGGACATCAAACCCAATTGTTGGGTTTTGTTCCACCAACCCCGAGGTAGGAAAGAAAGAAGGGGAAAAAGATGGATCGAGAAGGTGATGGTAATAATGTAATTTTGTTTGTTTTTATTTCTTTTTATTAAAATATAAATATTTATCTTATGTGGCTTTTTTATTTGTCCATGTAACATAATTATAAGGTATGTTATTGCCACATCATCAAAAGAATTAAAAGAAAATGCCACATGGTATTATTTAACTGTTATGTCATGTTTAATTGATGAAGGGATCAAAATTGTATAATTTTTAAAGTTGAAAGATCAAAAAAGTGCAAAAAGTAATTGATAGATTACAGAAGTGCAACACTATAAAATTGAAGGATCAAAATTGATATTTAACCTTGTTTTTATTCATAGTTAGAGTGTCTTTTGCATAACTTAACATTTATCTTAAAATT